CTCACTGTCTTGAGAGAAAAAATGCCTACAAAAAAGAAAGACGAGAGAGAGAGAGAGAGAGAGAGAGAGAGAGAGAGAGAGAGAAGAAAAAGTAAGGAAGAAAGAGAGGAGAGGAGAGAAAATTAAGAAAGCTCTTTCTAAAATGTCAGCTTGTTCTACTGATTTATATACTGACTTTTCCTTACGTGATTTGCCTCTATTTTCTGTATTAAAAACTAAAAGTGTTGCAATGCCATGCTCAACCGTCTCCAGGAAAGCAGTATTCATTCAGCTTTTCCAGAAGGAAATCTTCTGCCTGCCCCCCAAAGTTCTTTGCTTCCTTGCACCTTTTTCAGTCTGAAACCAGAAACTAACAACATGATGAGACAGCACAAAAAATGTCCCTCCAGCTCACTGGTGGGCTTTAATATTACAAAGGCAATAACTGAACTTCTAAAGGGGAAAGATGTGGTTACTAGCTTATGCCTGGGCAGAGTTTTCCTCCTGATACTTCATGAGTGAATTAGCAAGTTGTGATCTTGACTTATTTGAACCTTATTAAAAGATAATCAAAGCCCTTGCAATGGTACAGGAACCTTGAATGCTCTGCCTGTTTAACCAGCATCTTTATTTGTATCTTTTCCTTTCAATATAAAAGAAGAGACGGAGGAGAGGTGGTAGAGTCACCTTTGGCTTAGCTTTGCTCAGCTGCTCAGGCTGCGCTGGTTTATGTGTGTTGGAGCCTTTCGGTGAGAGAGCAGGAAATGCTACAAATTGCACGCCTGTTTTAATGAATTCCACCTGAATTGGGGCGCATCTCTATTCCAGAGAGACCCACTAGCATGGATGCTTCTGTCATTAGTAAGCTGAGCAGACACAAATCCATGCTCTGTGGGATATTTTTTCAGTGCTGGAATATCTGGACTGTTCCATCTCTCCCATCTCTGTTCGAGTTCTCTGACAGGGTGAAACTTCGTTTGAAAATCCTTACCAGCCATGGCTTTGTTTAGAAGGATGATATTAAACATACATCACCACCTCTTGAGAGGCCCTGTTCTCTTAATTGCAAATCCCAATCTTTGTCAGACATTAACTTCCAAATTGGTGTAGCTATTTTGAGTTACCACTTCTTAAAATTAGTGAATTGGAAATCACAGACATTAACAGAACAAATGAGCTGAATCAGAGTGTCTTTTTCCTGGCAATAGCTAACTCCGGCATGATTTCACTCATTTATCTTCGCCCCTTCCCCTGGATGAAGCTATTTTGCAATGGGCTGAAGAGGCAAGGGTGGGATGAAGGGTCTCTAACCAAGGAAGGACAGACTTCATTTACCTCATCACTCAATCTTCCATGTTTAAAAATATGGTGAAATTGAGTAGTTCCTTTGAACTACCCCCATTTACAAAGTCTGATGATATCTTTTAGAAATGGCAAAAACTGGATAATTCCATTTGTCTTTACTCCAGTTCATCCAGATGATAGAAATCAAGACATTGCCCATTAAAAGACTCTGATGAGCCCCATAACAAACAGAACTGATGGCCCCACACTGTGTAGGCAACCCCCAGTAGCATCAAGACAGGTCCAGAGTTCCTCATTGATGCCCTCCATAGTTCTCTTGACTTTACCTGTCACACACAGAAGCCACCATGTCCCAGTCCCACATTTCAGCACTTATGATTAAATTAACCACATCGAAAGATTTATAAACCCTTCTCCACAGACACAAACGATATCCTTACCATTACTAAAAGCATAGTTATCACAATTAAATTTAGTTTTTGTTTACAATGTCTGACCTTGATGGCTGTACTTCCTAACTAACACTAACTGAACTCATTCATACATTTATTTCTTGTTATAATTGCAGTTAATGCAGCATTCCTTCTATTTGGGTATAAGTTCTTCATGTTTTATTTGGGGTTTTGTTTTTTTGTTTATCCAATCCCCTAAGTTTCAAGTCAGGACAAATCCATCATTCTTATGAGCGTATCTTTGCATCCCTCACATCAAGGTTTGGTGCCATGAAGGATGAAGCTGCTGAGCCTTGAAGTCGTGGGGCTCAGTGTACATGGAAATTAAGCAACCCGTGTGACTAGCCTGGGTCTCCTTCCCCCCCAGAGTCACACACTGGAAACATCCTGACTTATCCTCTCCTCGACAGCCCTGTAAAACTGGCGTTTTTAGCAGCCAAGTGTCATTTGAACAAAGGATGAACTCACCTTGTGATTTGTGATGTCAGCCGTGAGCTTTCTGTTTTCCTCACTGCCCTTCCTCCTTAAAGAACAAATAAAAATTATAATCAGATATTCTGATTTGTCAGGGAACTGTTTTTATTTTTAGTAAC